TGCGTCGAAAGAATCCTCATTTTCGTAGTATTGATTGCGCTCATCATCCACGTCAGACATCCTACATTAGTAAAATGCATAGCCCAAGAATAAGGTTTAACATGAACCAAATGGTTGAAGATGGGAAATATTATCAATCACAATCGTCATACAAACACCAACAAACACGCGTACTGAAATTGAAACAAGTTATCAATAGTGTTTAAAACAACTCAAACAAGTAAGAAAGTAAACGCAGTGTCACTATTGCGAACTCTCGTCAACCCAACGGGCAATTAAAGCTCTACGATGTGCTTCGACTTTTAGGGAAACGAACATTCTGAGGTTGAAAGGGACTTCAAACTTTATAAGTACAAGCATGACAACATCGACCGACAAATCTGTATAAGCTTCAAGCTCGACAACCGCTCTTTCAGTCATCGTTTGTGCAGCTTGTTGAATAGCCATCCGTGTCTCAGCAAAGGAATTCATGACGGTGTCAATGGACTGCGATGGAGCTCTACGACGGCGAGTTGAATGGCTGCTATCCGGAGTGTACCCTTCACCACTCTCAGACAACATCTCATTTTCCAGGATGAAAGCTGGACTCCTCCTCACCCGTGTTCTCCCCTGTGGCGGTTGAGTGGAAGCTGTAGCCAGACTACCAGCAGCGGTTGTCCCGATGAAAATGGTGGTAAGTTCGTCGTAGTGAGGACATTTTCTGTTCTTCACATTTTCATCATCTGGGTGTCTCTGCATGTAGTATAATATTGGTTTCCATTAAACAATTTTTTTGAGGAAAATGGAATGTGTGCAATGAAAAAGTATCAGTTTAAGAAGGTCTGCAAGGAAAATTGATAACAGAAAGAAAAAGTAATTTCATTCATTTAAATGTTACAATTAACATTGGAACAAATATCACATATCCTTTACATTATAACTTCTAATTTTATGACCCAAACTCCATTAACTCCATTAAACAAGCTAACTGAAATAAACATTTTTGAGGGAATAAAGTTAATTTACACATTAACTTAAGGGAATCCATCCATTTGTTATACAAATTAAGTTAAGGGAATAAAGTTAATTTACATTGTTAATGTACTTTACCAAATCCATTTATGAACTGAGTAAACCGATAAAAAAATTATAAAAAAGAGGTTGCTACCTACATTAATTTGAAACACCGTAGAAACAAGAACAAGCAACGAAAGCATGCATTTGTATATGAGGTAGAATTCGCTACATTTTTCAGCAGTAAAAAGTGTACCAGTAGTGACAATTACAATTGTCCAAGTAATAGTTACCTGAGTCCATATCTTCCAAGCCTCGTCTCCTCTCGTGATCATATTTTGGTTTGGACACCAACCAAAACCTGTTGCACTTGTCCGCATTGTATGGAAACGACGCCAATATGCCTTCAAGCGAGCCTGCTCACCATGAAGTTGCTTCAATTCATAAGGTGGGACGGGGGAACAGAGCTCATTTAGTTTGCTCGCAATGGAGTTCCACTGAGCCGTACTAAAGTTTCCTTCGACGCAAATTTGATTGAGCACTTCTTCCAGCATCAATTGTATGAACTGAGCCTTCGTTTGTGGAGTCCATTTCGCCTCAATCTTCTTGCCTTTTGAACAACCAATATTGTCCATACCCAAAATCTACACCATCCAATTTTTGTGCAAAATTTACAGAGTAATATGATAGTGAAAAATGATGAAATGTATATACATAGCATTATAAGGAGTAGGATTCAATAATGAAACAGACCAATATCTTCAAAGAAATTGAGAGCCAAAACTGATTAATGTATATACATTTTGCACAAGATACTCTAAACAATCAAACACAGAAGCATGTACTTTAAACACAAAATTATCTAAAGAAGGAAGTAATTTCCACATAAACCCTAATTCCAAAATTCAAAACTGGAAAAAAATATGTGCAATATATAAAACAAAATTTCAAAATAAAAACCCTCTTTAAACAGAAGGTAGTTTGCCAGAGAATACCGAACGACCGACATCTTACGGAGAAGGAGATACTTGTCTTGGCCGTTTATTTTTTTTGCCGGCGAAGTGACCGAGACACTGTCGGTGCTCTCGGTTCTATCGTTGCTGGACTCCGTCTGTGGGGTAGTGGCAGGAGCAGGGACCTTCTTGGCCGATTGAAGAGGTGGGTCTGATGTGTTCTTCAATTTTTTGGGGAAGAAGGGGCGAATTTATGGTGGATTTCTTCACCTCGTCGAACAAAATTATTTTCTCCTTTTTTTTATGATTTTCAGACTGAGCAGTCATTTCAGTTCCTCACATAACATAATAAACAAAAATTTAAAAATGATAAAGAGAACCTAACTAAGCAGCATGGGCGGTAATAGATAAAAATGGTATGGGGAATGGTTGGCATGCATTGACTGCACCATTGACTATTGACTATAGTATTATATAGGAAAATAAATATAAAATTAAATAATTTATGTTTTTAAATTAAAAAATAAAAATAATACTTGTTTAAAGAAAGGCCGTTTACGTGGGCCCCTCAAGGTCGCGTGAGATTTCGGTTTACCGAGAATCGAGTTGGGACGTGTAGACATTCAGGCACGATGTCATGCGGGACATTTGTCGAGAATTTTGGAGGTCCGAGCATTTAACTAGAGAAGATTGAGTTCACGGGTGAATAGTAGAAAAATGAGTTGTGTTAAACAACCCCGTCGGCCCTCGTTAAGCGAGCCGAGCATTAGCGGGAGTGCATTATAGAAAGCATGAGAAGAGGAGAGTCCGTTCGTGGCGTTTATTTATTATATCGAGGCCC